GCCGACGAGCGCCAGGCAGGTCCGTTAGGAGGCGGGATCGCCGGGCCTCGGGGCCAGGGAGCCGGGAGGCGGCCGCAGCTCTCTCGGGGCGCTTTCGCTGCGGTATGCCTTAGACCAGAGGACGGATGCCCGCCTCTCGGGGTCAAGAATCTTTTCCTTTCTTTTTGGCAAAGGGCAAGGTGTGTGTGTGTGTGTGTGTGTGTGTGTGTGTGTGTGTGTGTGTTTATTTGGGGGTGTGTGTACTGTGGCCGGTTGTGAGAACTGATTTATTCCCCGGCCCCCCCAAAGGGGTTCCGTGTCTACAAACGAACTTAACCTTCTCCGCCTCTCCGGGCATCAAGTGCGCCTTCCGGCCGGGAGCAGCTAAGGGAAGAGGGGCTGGAATGCGTCGGGTCTCGCCTTCCTTCTACTTCTGTCTCAGTCCCCCCTCCCCCATTCTTTCTGCTCCTTTCTATCGGAAAAAAATAATAAAATTTCTCGTGGAATTGTATAAAGTTTCTCTGCCTATGCCCAAGTTACAGAGGGTTCCCCATCCTGTCCCCCTTCCCCCCAGAAGACGGTGCACTGGTTTGTATTTCTTTTGTTACCTGTGATCCGGGCGGGGGCTCCTTTCGGCCGCTCGGGCTGGGGTCCGGCCCATATAGGAGGCTCCGGCGGGTGCCTTTGGCCGCGACTCCTCACTTCCGCGCGGTTCTGGTGAGGTCTTAGCTACCGTTCGATGAGACACCCTCCTTGTAGGTACCAAAGGTTCAGATCGCGAACACGGACCCCCCCCCCGACCCCTACACACACACACATGCACACTCACACTCAATACACACTCACAGATACACACATTCTCCCTGCTCCCCCCCAGCCCCCACCCTGCCTTTCCCCTCCCCCCTTCCAAAAAAAGCACACACACAACAACAACAACCCCCCCAAACCAAACAAAAACCCAGACAAGTTCACTGGCGGAAGATGGTGGATTGACACTGACTCAGACAGAGGCAGGTTCACCAGGAAATCTGGCGGTCCCGATTTCTGACAGTTGCATTTCCTCTCCTTGAGTCCTCCCCCCCCCCCTTTTTTTTTTATTAACTCTGTTCCATGTTTAATCAAGGATCATGTAGATGGCAAAAGGAGAGACAGAGAGAGAGGAGAGAGAGAGGAAGAGAGAGGAGAGAAAGACAAGAGACAGAAGGAGGTTTCTTTTTTTTTTTATTGTGTTCTCCTGGATTTTCAGTGGCTTGATCCCTATAAACGTGGAGTGGTTAAAGCTCATATGTAGTATTATATTTTTAGTTGGGTGGATGGATGGAAGAGTCAGGGAGAGGCTGCGGCTGCCGCTGCCTTTTCGGGTGTTCCTTAGAGTAAGGCTGGGACTTGGCTGCGATTGGGACGCGACAGTGACATGGGCATCGATCGCTTCCATTGAGAGCAATGCAAAAACACAGCCCGGGTATGTAACACTCTCGGTGCCATCAACACTTGTTTTACTTTATATTTACTGGCGAAATTGACAGAGCAAGCTCAGACTTTCTTTCTTTCTTTCTTTTTTCCCTCTTTTCTCTTTTCTAACTGAAGAATAACAATTGTGTCTAGAAGTTGTTGCAAAGGATGGTTTAAAGACAACAGAAAGGATAGATTGGGATCATTTTCCTACCTCTGTGACTGCTTGTGTTTAAGAGTTTTTCTTCTCCACAGAGGAGCATATTAAAGAAGTCGAAGGTTTTCTTTTTCACTTCCTCATCTTAAAAAAAAAAATCCTTAAGGGAATATTTGATAGTTTTCAACGTTTGCCGTTTCAATCAGCAGGAAGGCACACAAAAATAAAAGATGGCTAGCCAGCTGTTTTAACCTCTTGCACCTGGCTTCAGTGTGGGGATCATAAGGTTTATACAGTTACTATAAAAAAAAAACAATTCTAATATTTATGGCATAAACTGGGGAGAAAGTATCACTGTATTTATTCGATAGCTGGTTGCTTTTGCATTTAAAAAAGTAAATGCATATTTAAGTGTTTTCGTTTTTATGGCAGTGAAGATAGAGTCAATGAAATATGGGGGAAAACCCATAAATCTGAAAAGTGAATTGTACCTAAGGAACAAAGAAAGGTCAGGTAAACCAGCTGTGTAAGTCAAGGCAGTGGCACCAAATGTGGGGTAGACAGGGCGAGTGGGCTCTGGGTCTAGGAAGTGAAAGTTGCCACTTCAAGTTAAAAATGAAGGACACATGCTCGGCTTTACTGTAATCTTTGGCAGTTTTTAGCAGATGAGTCCAAATCTGTTCATTAATTTTGGGCTAGTTGGATTATTTTAAAAGATGCTTCACCAGCAAAGGGAGACATAAAGGAGGCTGAGAAAATCGCTGTTTAATATTGCAGAATTTACTGCTTCCATTCTGACCATGAGCCTAAATTTACACAATGAAATTTGATTATCTCTAATAACAATATTAGATCCTGCACTGGATGGATGAGAATTGAGGTGGTTTTGTTGATTGCAAGGGTTTAATGTTGCATTTCAGAATCTGATGTGGTTTGGCCTCCCTTCCATTAACTGGAAAACCCCTGAGGTTTTACAATTATTTCTTAAAGATAATACATTTAAGATTGCATTGGTAGGCTGAAGAAAAGTCATAAAGGCAAGAAGGGAAGCCCTTAATAACTCTTGAGATTCAGACATGTTCAGCAGTTAGATTGGCTCTGACTTCACCAAGGGTCGACAATGTGTCATTTCCACGAAGCCAAATTGCCCTCTGCCTATATGATATTAATGTGCAAATCAATATTTCAGGGATTAAATTTCCCTTCTTCATTTTTTATGGTTTCTACCTCAATAAGTCTCAAGTCTATTAGAAGAGGCTGGATGATTTAAAATCTTTCACTGCAGAATGGCTTGTCGTAGTCTTGTTTCACAGACCATTTTAGGATTTTTGTTATCAAGACTAAAGGCATCCTAGAGAAGTTGTGAAGCAGTGTAGAGCCAGGCTCAACAGTGGAAAGCCCTTGTTCGATTAAGAGCCAGGAGGTATTGGAAATCTAATATATATGTTTATGTAATATACATGTATATACACACGCACATGTCTTCTGCTGCTTTAAAAATATTATGTTAATCACCTATTGATTTATTTCAAAATCCATTGAAGTTCCTTTCTTATTAGTGATTTGTCCAGCATTCTTGAAGACTGTGTTCATTTTCTTAAAGAGTGGGCATAAATTAGCTTGGTGTGAAAATACTGGGGAGGGGTTTTCATTTAGCAGTATTTTCCCTCAGCAATCTTGCTAGAAACCATTGTTTGTGAGAGCAATCATCAAGTGTTGTCATCTGCATAGTCGTCGTCATGGCTATCATTGCATCTGAGGGCTGAGTGATTTGGCTGATGTCTGTTATAGGAGGCCCTCCTCAATGCACATCACATTGCTTTCCGGCACTTAGTAGGCACAAGGTTTCTCCTAACGCTCTTGGAGAAACACAGTTGTAAAAGAAAATATGTGACCTGATGGGAAATAATACAAAGCAGAAATTTGGGAGGTCAAAATAAAAGATTGTGACTTTATCACATAATCTCGGGAAGGCCTACTGTCTATCATTTGGGGGTGTTTTATAGTCAAAAACCATCTGGACCAAGTTCCGCACAGCTGCACGAATTTCATATGTGATAGAACATTTTTTCCATTCAGTGTGAAATGTTCCTTCCTAAAACACGTACACCAGACTCGCTTAATTTAGTCTGTTAAAAGAAATGCACATGAAAAAGGACAAAAGGCTCTTTAATCGCTGCAAGCTGTTTGTTTTTCTTCAAGATTCCTGTCTGTTTGGGTTTGAAAAGTCATGTTTATTGAGGAGATGATTCTGAGGTGTGACATTAAAATAATATATGATCTTTGGACTGGTGGCCATGCTTCTGCCTGGTTTGCGGAACTACTTTTTATGCCTGTCAAAACACAGCGTTAATCTATCCTTATTTACAATTAATCTCAATAAAATTAATCTTAACTATGCTTTATTCAGTGGCTTAAAATATCTAATTATATTCAATTAACTGCTGTCATCGTAATTAACATTGCTTAATTGCCTCTGCATATATTTACGTAAAGCTCATTAGGTGCTGCTGGCTCTTTTTCCTTCCCTACTTGCTATTTTTGCTGTTGTCAAATCATTTTCATCTCCCAAGGTTCTACAATGTCAGTGAGAGGAAATTCTTCCTTAACATTTTT